GGGGGCAGAGGGTTGGGGAGACAGTGAAGGTAGGAGGTAAAGGAGTGACGAGAGCAAGTGCATCATTATATGCGCTCGATCTTCAGCAGTTGATTACATAAGCAACTATAATATGAGTCGTCAACTGATAGAACATTTCAATTATTGCATTTAGGTATAAAATAAAATTATTGATCTACTTTGTAATACAGTAAAAAGGAATATGACATGTATATAGCTTTCTAAACATACTAATGTAATTATTACAAGTAGATGAAATGCCTTTACAATAATTGTAAACTGCTTGTATAAATATTCTAAATATGATATACATTAATATACCTTTTGTATAAATTATAAGGCAACAATAGTAATTATTACATTATTATATTATAAGTATAACTCTTTCTTTAAGATTATAATTTAAATATAATACAAGCATAACACTTTAGGTTGTTATATAAAGTTAGTATAATACATGTAATAGATTTTTATTCATCCCTAGTACTTATGTAGTCTTTATATACATTAATATGTTTTATTTAAACATTGCAATTCAATTACAAGCCTTATAATTACTTTATAATGTATATACAATACATATGTTACTTTACAAAGTCTATAAGAAATTACAAGAAATCTGACTTTTTCCTGGTGACGTTACAATTCACATCAAGATGCTGACATCGGCTACTAGCTTAGTAGATACATAATCCTGCAAGTCTTACACTTCCATTCTTTAGGCCTTGTACGAATACATGCTGAGGAAGCTCATCCGACCACAAGTAGCTCAACTCTGAGCCTTGTAATCAAAGACTAATGAGCTACTTCGGAAGAAAGTTATTATGATGGTGGCTCGGAGTCGGGAAACGATAAGTATACATTTCATTCAAGTTGATCAGCGCTGTCGATCTACGCGCTATGGTCCTATGGGCGATAGCTTCTAGCGTGTTCTGTCATTAATATAAACAGCAATGCTAACCATTACTAGCGCTGAGTGTACAGACAGAAGAGGAGCCCACTGCGGATCTCAAACAAGTCTACCACGCTTGATCTTTCTTGCTTCCCGCTGAATTCTTTTGTTCATGTCGAACGCCACGGATTTTTTTATATTGCACTTCCAGAGATGATTAGCGTGAACGTCACTTCAGGATTGTGATATGGGTCCGTTTTAAGACTCCAAGTTGGGCATAAAGAATGGATGCCCGGAACTCGGACACGCAAGCATTCGTGAAGTTTTCAGGACTCTGTCACTCCAGATATTGCAATGAGCATCAATTCACCCAAATTCGAGTCGCTTAAGGAAAATACAATAGTTATATATGTATGTTTGGAAAGTATAAATGGGCGTGGTCGACAACCAGTATCGCTACCGTCGGGTCTCTGCATTAAATGAAGCTCCTAAACCTCCTCTCAGTCTTGTTTCTCACTGCATCCTCAGCTTTAGCTCAGATTATTTCTCCTATATTCTATCCTCCTGACGGAACATATTACATTTACAACGTCCAGTACAAACGCGTCTTTGATGACTATGATTTCAACATAATAGAGGGCAACCCTATCATTGGCTGGCCCACTCATCTGCCTGGTCATCCAGCAATACCATCACCATCAAATCAGCAGGTTTGCCTTCCCGGCTGCGTGTTTGTGACTATTGATTTACTTGTCAACTTCAGTGGGTTATTAAAACCGTGGATAACTCGACCGACCACAAAGTCACGATTCGTTCGCTGGAGACTATTCAGCAAAAGCCATCTGCAGGTGGATATGCTATCAACAATGTAAGGAAAGCTGTATTCTGTAAATACAGTCTCATTATACAATTGCTACAGGACGGAAAGATTGTGACAAGCAAAACCACTCAACCTTGGACACTGCAACCAGTACCAAATGCTTGTGCACAGTTCATGTAAGTGTGTGCAACGCATTATACTTACATATATACATGCTCACAGCATTTGTCATGGTAACTAGGATTGCTGACTGCAATATCGCCATAATCCTCGACAGTGGCCAAGTGAGTTTTCTCAGAGGTCTGGCTAGGTTCTCCACCGAAATTTGCTAATTCAAACCTTAAAGACAAATAACGCTCTCAATGCACAACTGAAAGCTGAAGTCATTCACAAGAATGCTACAAACCAGCACTGGGTCTTTGTTCCAGTCGACCAAATTACCGAATTTTTGGCAGAGAATGGCTCCGGCTAATCGATTCGTAACGGTTTCACATAGGGAGCAACATCAGAATACCACTCTTTCCTCTCACGGATCAAAGAAGTTCGGGTTTGCTCTGTGTTAGTGTTTGTTAACAATCTTGGCATTATCTTGCCTTGAACTGTCTCTTTAGACAGGCTTATTGTCCTTTTTGTTGAACCTTTAACTACGTACGAGTAAGTTACAGGTGGAATGTTATTTCTTCTTGCACATGTTGTCCAGTTTCGGACGTTTGCGTTTACAAATATTAAATTCTATTAGTGTCTCTGGAGTATAACTGCAGAGTGTGATGTCATTAACACCATCTTTAGAAGAAATTGCGTCACGTGTGCATTATTGATGTTTCTAGAACAATAAGCTAAGAACTAAAATACCTCTGCGTTTGCAGAGAGCTCAATAGTAAGCATTTTTCATGCACGAGTCTCAGTAGGGAATTGAAACGAAAGAAGATCCGCTTTTCCCGGTGCTTTCACGTGACAACTGATATCGCATATCAAATTATCAAATTATAAGAATAGTTATTTAACCTGCCCGCGCCCACCTTTCCCTATTGAACAAAAACACTCGCACTAGTGAAATTGACAATTACCCCCCCCCCCCACACACACACATTCTCACAAGATAGTTAATAATGGGTCTGGAAACTGGACGTCCCATTCTTGTCGTTGCTGGAGTTGGCAATGGAAGTGGTATGTACTATGGCTCATGCAGACCATTACTTTAAGTGTCCTCTAAACCGTTGCCATTGAACTTGCAGGTACGGGCGCGGCAACTGCGTATATGGTTTGCTTTCAGCAATACGAAGTTATCCGCTGATAATATAACAGGAGGGTATTCGCCAAAGAAGGATACCGTGTTGCTCTCATCGGTAGAAACACAGATCACCTGAAGAAAGTCGCAGATGGGATAAATTCATCTGGTGGAGAGGTGATCAACATCATTTTACAGTGCTTATTTCGACACTTAGTGTTATCTTTCAGGCCATCCCACTCCCAATAGCAGAATACGACACAGTGTCTTTAACTTCTGCTTTCAAGTCAATTAATACTCAGTGGCCCGACTCTCGTTTACGAGTTGCGGTCTGGAATGCCGTGCATTTCGTTATGAAGCCGTTCCTTGAGACTACAGATGAGGACATCGCAGAGTCACTCGATATTAATGTCCGCGCAGCTTTTACTTTCTCGCGACTCATCATCACTGCATTCAAAGAAAACAATCTTAATGAAGCTGGCAAGCGTGGAACGTTGATTTTCACAGGAGCCCTTTCTGGGGTGAGGGGCACCAACCTCTTTAGCGCCTTTTCAGCGGGTAAATTTGGCTTACGCGGATTATCTCAAAGTTTGAGCAAAGAGTTTGGAAAAGATAACATACATGTCAGTTTTTCCATTATCTCTTTTATGAGCAAGAGCCGTTTACTGGTTATCTTTTCCCGTTAATTCAATAACAAGTAGGTCGCTAATGTGAGCCGTAACTTTTTTGCGCTCATTATATTCGTCAAATCTGACGATTGCATCGATATAGGCCCTCATAAGCGGCTGTATGTCTTCATCACTATCAAATAATCCCACACGTCTATCGTGCTCATTATCCTTCAAGTTATATTGACAGATCTGACGCGTGAATTTCGTAATGATAAAGCGTGGGATGCGAATGAGAACGTTCGTATTGATCCTGAGAGCATTGCGAAGGTGATTGCAAACACGTTCATTCGATGTTATTCTCAATCTAATACTCTCTTGATATGCTAGTCGTATGTTTACCTCGTGAATCAGGATCGTTCCGCCTGGACATGGGAGCTTGATCTTCGCCCTGCACACGAGCGGTGGTGATTAACCATTTGGACATGGGCATGGTAATAGTATGTAGAATATGGTGACAGAAGAAAAGACAACTTATCAATAAGACAACTTGTGTTTTTCGCATCAAGTGTGCGGGATCATTGTATTTACTTCCAGTAGCATGATTTGATCCAGTGAAATACTTAATTAGCAACGCTATGTAGCTGAGCCGCGTTGCTCATGAGAGTCGGACGAGATTAGGTCAATTTTGTGGAAGTGAGCACCAGTTGTCGAGTGATGTCATCGAATTCGTAGGCGCGTTGAAGACGCATTTAGATCACGTGCAGAGACATCCGTCTCGCCTTCTCGCGCCTTTGCCTCCGAAACGGGTCTTAGTCATGGGACTCAATGGCAATTTATACCTCGGGCAGCTGAGCGACCTTCACAGTCAGCGTTCGACGCGTCTCAGTAAGAGGAAATCACACCCTTCTTGCATTGAATGACGCCAACTGTGCGCATCCGAACCCTATTTAATCTGCCTCAGCGCGTGGCATCTCTTCAGCACTCAACCAGATTCTCTCGCGTCAATTGGACTTCGACCAGCTCCTACCAACTCAAGAAACAATTCGCAAAAATGGCTTCGCAGAATGCTCGTCCCATTCTTGTCGTTGCCGGTGTCGGCAATGGATCAGGTTCGTTTCATTGACACTCGTTGTGTTATCTGCCTTCTCATCATTGAGACTTGACTATTAGGAACTGGAGCTTCTACTGCGTATATAAATGTTCTGCAAGCAAATTAGTCCAGGACTGACTGTCGAATAGGAGGGTCTTCGCTAAGGAAGGCTATCGTGTCGCTCTAATTGCCAGAAACGCAGATCACTTGAAAAAGACCGCAGACGAGATCAACGCGGCTGGAGGAGTGGTGAATTCTATCCCATCCTTTAGCTTTTTTCGCGGATCTCTTAGTACCGTCCCATAGGCTGCACCATTTCCGGTGGCGACATACGATGCTGCATCATTGACTTCAGCTTTCAACTCTATCAAAGGCCAGTGGCCCGACTCGCGCTTGCGCGTTGCAGTGTGGAATGCTGGATACGGCATCTGGAAGCCGTTCCTGCAGATCACCGACGAAGAAGTCGCGGAGGCTCTTAATACTAACGTTCGTGCAGCTTTCGCGTTCTCGCGCCTTGCTATTACTGCGTTCAAGGAGAACGATCTAAACGATGTTGGTAAGCGAGGCGCGTTGATTTTCACAGGAGCGACTGCCGCGTGGAGAGGCAATACGACGACTAGTGCCTTTGCGGCAGGCAAGTTCGGATTGCGTGCTTTGTCGCAGAGCTTGAACAAGGAATTTGGGAAGGATAACATTCATGTGAGCCTGTAATACACATTACTAATTTAATGAATTTTGACTAATCTCGCATGTTTCATTTAGGTCTCCCATGTAAGCCTATTCCATTTACTGCGTTTGACTTATCGCTCACCCCATATTGCGTGCTTCAGTCCATTATTGACGGAGGTATGACACACTTTTCGAGAAATGCAAAAGCAAATTGAATCTTACTAACTTCATGATTAGTTATCTTGACTGATCGTGTGCGCAGTTACCGTAACGACAAAGACTGGGAGAATGAGGACATACGTCTTAACCCAGACAGTATAGCAAAGGCGAGTTGAATTACTGAATCTTAAACTTGATTTTAAACTAATTGTTAAATAACGTTTCAGTCATACCTGTATCTTGTGAATCAAGACCGCACTGCCTGGACTTGGGAGCTTGACCTCCGCCCGGCTCACGAGAAATGGTGATGATTTGCTTTGAATATCTGTGTTAGGCGACGTGTGTCTGGAGAATGAAATCATGTAAAGTATACGCACCTAGCTATTAAAGAAATGAATCAGATTAGTTGTTGTTCATATTCGTTTCTCCCTGACCCTCTTTGCTTTATAATTGGAATTGAAGCAATCAAATTAAGCAAGTATGTTATTTATGCGATAGTCTGTAAGGAATCAAGAGGACAAGCTTCTTCAATCAATATATGCATATCCACAAGGATTAAAATGAAGTAGGATAGAGGAAACAGAAAAAAACCACAGCACCCAGGATTCCCGCGTGGTCCCCCACCGTGGTACTAACTGGGCGGCACTCAGGTTAACTGCGCAGATCAGACGGGATGCGGTGTTTTCCGAGTCCTATGGCCGTGGATACAATATGATGTAAGGCACAGGTTATATAGCGTTTGACTTTTAGCCAGAACGGACTCCATTTACGTGCATTGAAACGTTTTCACAGCCTGAATCTCATTTTCTTGTATTCTGCATGAATCCAAATCACCAGTTCAGCTAAATTGTACCTTGAGAACAGTCAGAATCCAAACAAACAAAATCTAGCAAATAATTGAAGGTGTGTTACAGTACATGATAACACAATAACCAGGTACAACTGGAGAGTATTGGGCTACTGAACCATCCGGTGTTTCTACTGAGTCGAAGATTTGGGCAGATAATAAACATTATCCTGGAGACCTGTTATGCTGTATAACTTTAAGTTATGCATACAGTCAGGGACTAACATTAATGGAGGGTTTTATTTTTAGCTTTCAGTCACATTGTCCTTAGGGAGGCAAAACAAATAAATAGTGCCATGTACTAGACAAGAGGTGCCCAGATTTAGTGGATAATAAGGATCTGACAGGAGAATCTTTGAATGAATATTATTCAATATACAGCTATGTAGCAAAAGTGTTCGTCTTTCCTGATTAGGCAAATGCATTAGTAAGTGATTTTCGTTAACTTATTAGGCAGTTTGAGACACGTCAACCTTCATCTTGTGTCTCAAACTGCCTAATAAGTTAACGAAAATCACTTACTAATGCATCTTCCCAATCAGGAAAGACGAACACTTTTGCCACATAGCTGTATGTTATTATGAAAAAGTTGCAACAAATGTAATTAATAATAGCAAATGTAATGTAATAATGTACTTATATATTAATTACAATTCAAAATTATAATTATACTTTACTTGTAATTGAAATGTAACAACTGTATATAAATGTAATACTTATACAAGAATTGTATTATACTATAATTGTTTTTTGAAGCAAGTAATGTTACTACCAGTATTACTACAATATTATATGTGAGACATAAGTACTTAACTTTTATTGTAATATGTTAAAATTGTATATAAATTAATATACAACAGTAGTTGATTGGTTATAATATTTATAAAAGTAATGTAATATGCTTGTAAG